ACAGCCTCCCTGGGCAGCCTGGGCCAGGGCTCCGTCACCCTCAGAGGGAAGAAGTTCCTCCTCATGTTCAGATGGAACTTCCTGTGCCTCAGTTTGTGCCCATTGCCCCTTGTCCTGTCACTGGGCACCACTGAAAAGAGCTTGGCCCCATCCTCCTGACACCCACCCTGCAGACATTTGTAGGCATTTATAAGGTCCCCTCGCAGCCTTCTCTTCTTCAGGCTGAACAAGCCCAGTTCCCAAACGCACCCACGAGAGCGGGCGCTGCCAGCCCGCTCGGAGACCGCGCGGCCGAGACGCGCAAGAGGTCAGAGCGGTCGTGAGGACGACCAGACAGACGTGCAAGAGCCGGACTCTGCCAGGAGACCATTTCCCTGCAGAAGGGGAACTCGGGCCCGTGAACACACAGCCAGACGGCACCGTCTCCCGTCCGAGGCCGGCAGCCCGCTCACACCAGGGCTCCCCGAGCTGGCTTTAGGACCACGACTGCCAAGGGCTGCTTTCGCAGCGAGTTTTAGCGCTGTGGGTGACATCTGACGCTGAGCCAAGGGCCCGGGTGAGGCCCAGCAGTTACAGCGAGAGGAGAGAAAACGTCCCCTGGAAGCGGGGACGCTGCCCTCCCGCCTGCTCCGCCAGCAGCCGAGGGCTCCCGCCCCGAGCAGGGAGCTCTGCCCAGCACCCGTCCCCCGCGCTGCTCCTTGCCGAGACTCAAGGGAGTCGGAAGCGGTTTCGGAGCAGGAAGGAGTCAGCTGGGAACGGAGGGAGCTCAGGCTGCGTGCGTGGCACTGACTTTCGGCTCTTTCACGATTCGAGCTCAGCCCAGGAAGGGAGGGAGGGAGATGTGGGGACTGTGGGGGCTGTGGGGACGGTGCAGAGGCGAAGGTGACAGCGAGGAGACAGCGAGGAGACCTGCTTGCGCCGGAGCAGGAGAGAAACGGCTGCAGGCAGCCGAACCCGCGCCCGTACCTCAGCATCACGTCCGATTCTCTGACGATCTGGGCTATGTCACCCTTCTGGATCTTCTGCTGCGACAGCAGCTCATGGGCCCTGGTCCACCTGGGGAGAGGCAGCAGAGTGAGCTTCCTGGGCAGCAACCTTCAAGCAGTCACAAAAACAACTACAACCTCCCAGCATTGCTGCCAAGCCCAGAGGCCATTCAAGCCTTGTGTCTCGTAGCCCTCGGGGGCAAGAAGTTGCCAGGACGAGGGCCAGCTCGTCACACACGAGCACTCACCACTCCACCATGAGAGGCCGCTTCTCTTCCAGGGTCCGGTTGGGATCGATTTCGATGGGGTAGTAATGGTGCAGCAGGTCTTTCAGCTGGAGCGTTGTGCAGACGGAAACAGAACAGAGCGAACATCAGGTCTCCAGAGACTGGAAACACCAACAAACGCGTTTCTAGGTGCCCCAAGGCATCGCGCTGCCGAACGAAGAGCACAGCCAGAACGGCTTCACCGAGCAGCTGCGCCCTGAGCCAACCCGGGGCTCTCGGGAGGGAGCGGCAGCCCCGGCAGCCCGGCTGACTCCCACCTGGCTTCGAATGCTGCAGGCACCCTTCCGAGCGCCCTGGCACCCTTCCGAGCGCCCTGGCACCCCTCTGGGCAGCCAGGCACCCTTCCTCTTCTTATCAGACCGAAAATGCCCACAGCTGAGCATGCAAATCCAATTTCCCTTTTAAACTTCTCCTCCCATTACCACTGACCGAAACGCAGCCCGGACGCTCGCCCCACTCCCTGTCCCGGCAGCCAGGCACCGCTGTCACCCTGTCGCGTGAGCCCATACGGCCCCTGATGATGGGGGACAGGGACGAACACCACGGAGCCCAGCAGCAGTGCCCCACACAACAGCACCTACCTTCCTCTTGCCGTCCTCGCTGATGACACGACTGTTATCGAGGACGTCTGTAACGACAGCAAAACGCCAGTGCTGTAGCCCAGGAACGTAAAAGGGTTTTCTAAAAGGCAGCCATCC